AAGTCCCTCTTTTTTTTTTTTTTTAAAGATTGGCACCTGGGCTAACAACTGTTGCCGATCTTTTTTTGTTTTTTTTCCTGCTTTATCTCCCCAAACCCCCCTTGTACATAGTTGTATATGTTAGTTGCAGGTCCTTCTAGTTGTGGGACGTGGGATGCCGCCTCAGCGTGGCCTGATGAGCGGTGCCATGTCTGCGCCCAGGATCCGAACCCTGGGCCGCTGCAGCGGAGTGCATGAACTTAACCACTCGGCCACGGAGCCAGCCCCAAGTGAATGGATATCTTTCCGTTTAGGTTTTTAACTTCTTTGAACAATGTTTTATAGTTTTTAATGTGTATCTTACACTTATTAAATTAATTCCTAAGTATTTTATTTTTGATGTTACTGTGAATGAAATTGCTGTCTTGATTTGATTTTTGGATTGTTCATTGCTAGCATATAGAAATATAGTAGGTTTTTGTACATTGACTTATTTTTGCCACCTTGCTGAAGTCCTTATTTCTGTTTTTTTGTGTGGATTTCTTAGTATCTTTTACATACAAGAATATGTTGTCTGAGAGTAAGAACAGTTTTATTTCATCTTTTCCAATATGAATGCCTTTTATTTCTTGTCTGTCTGGACTGGCCGATCTGATGTTGAGTAGAAGTAGTGAGAATGGACATCTTGTCTCGTTCCTGAACTTAGGGGGGAAAGTGTTCATTCTTTCACCATTATGTGTGATGTTAGCTGAAAGGTTTTTGTAGATGCCCTTTGTCAGATTGAAGAATTTCCCCTCCATTTCTAGTTTATTGAGAATTTTTTTTTTTTTTAAAGATTTCATTTTTCCTTTTTCTCCCAAAGCCCACTGGTACATGGTTGTGTATTTTTAGTTGTGGGTCCTTCTAGTTGTGGCATGTGGGATGCCGCCTCAGCATGGCTTGATGAGCGGTGCTCTGTCCGTGCCTAGGATCTGAACTGGCGAAACCCTGGGCTGCTGAAGCCAAGTGCATGAAATCAACCACTTGGCCATGGGGCTGGCCCCAAAGATTTTATTTTTCCTTTTTCTCCCCACAGCACCCTGGTACATAGTTGTTTATTTATTTATTTTTTTAGTTGTGAGTCCTTCTAGTTGTGGCATGTGGGGTGCCGCCTCAGCATGGCTTGATGAGCAGTGCCATGTCTGTGCCCAGGATTCGAACTGGCAAAACCCTGGGCTGCCAAAGCGCAGCACGCGAACTTAAGCCACTCGGCCATGGGGCCGCCTAAGAATTTTTAATCATGAATGGGTATTGGATGTTGTCAAATGCTTTTTCTGCATCTATTGAGATGATCATGTTGCTCTTGTTCTTTGGTAATATGATATATTACATTAATTGATTTTTAGATGTTAAAGCAACCTTGCATTCTTGCAGTAAATCCTACTTGCTCATAGTGGATAATCCTTTTTTACTTGTTGTGGGATTCAGTTTGCTGATATTTTGTATACGATTTTTGTGTCTATTCATGAGGGATATGGTGTGTAGTTTCTTTGTGATTCTTATCAGGGTAATTTTGGCCTCATGAAAGATTTGTGAAGTGTTCTTTTCCGCTGTTTTCTGAAAGAGTTGTGAAGGTTTGATATAGTTTTCTCTTTAAATGTTGTATAGAATTCACTAGTGAAGCCATTGGCCCTGAGCTTTCCTTTGTGGGAAGCTCTTTGTAGAAATTGCTTCTTAGAGATCTGCTCAAATTTTCTCTTTTTCTTGAGTTAACTTTGGTACTTTGTGTATTTTTAGGAGTTTGTCTATTTCATCATCTATGTTGTATAAAGTTTTTCGAAGTATTCGCTTGCAGTCCTTTTGATTTCTGTAAGGTCATTAGTGATAGTGCTCCTCTTTAATTTCTAATTTTAGGAATTTGTGTTTTTCTCTCTTTTTTCTTGGTAAGTCTAGCTAAAGTTTTGTCGATTTTGTTGATCTTTTCAAAAAAAGCAACTTTTGGTTTCATTGATTTTTCTGTTTTTCATTTTTTTCTAAAGTTTCACCTATTTCCACTTCAGCACTTATTCTTTTGTTTCTTCTGCTTATTTTGTTTGCTTTACTCTTAGACTGTTACCTTTTAAACAACAAAGTCAGTGCAACTTAATTCGCAAAAAATTCTTTACCTACTTCAAAATGTAGCAATAATAATATTTACTGATGTCATCTTGTTAGGTGTTCTTCAAACTTTTTTACTGACTGACGTTAAAGCAGAGCTAATCTTTTTATCAAAGTAGGCCTATCATTCTTATTAGCATATACGTTAGTTTTGATTATCTCATTCGAGTGAAATTTACGTTGAATTATTTCATAAACAAAATTTTAAAAACTTTTATTTATTTTTTTGTTTTTGCTGAAGAAGATTGGCCCTGAGTTAACATCTTTGCCAGTTTTCCTCTATTTTGTATGTGGGTCACTGTCTCAGCATGGCTGTGGACAAGTGGTGTGTAGGTACATGCCTAGGAATGGAACCTGGGCCGCTGAAGCGGAGCATGCTAAACTTAACCACTAGGCCATGGGGCTGGCCGCTAAAAACCGTTTTAAATATTAGCATAGACCTAGTCTTTTTGATCTGCTTAAGAATATCTTTGCTCCAAAATCTCAGTGGCTTAAAAGAACAAAGGTTTGTTTCTCTTTCTTACCACTGTGTGTCGACAGGGTCTTAGCTTGTTAGAGTCGCTCAAGGACCCAGGCTGATAGCATACCTGATATTTCAAATGTTGTAGGTTTCAGTGCCAGAGGGAAAAAGAGCTGTGGAAGATCTTGCCTGGCAGTTAAATGCTCTGGCCTGGAGGTGACACACATCACTTTCCCTCACAGCTGATTGGCCAGAGCTAGTCACAGGGCTATACCCAGCCACAGGGGGTTCCATGGACTCAAAAAGAGTAGAGCTAGAAGTGTTAGATGTAAACAGTAAAGATTACCAAAGCATCCTAGTTCAGATCACTGTCACTGGATTGCCTGATTAGCTGCTTACCAGGTCTCCTGGTTTAGCTTCTCTACTGTCCGTTCTCTGTATAGCAGTCAATGATTTTTCTAATCATAAATCTGACGATGTCACTCTGCTTATAGCTGATCATCATTGCTTTTCAGATAAAGTCCATCTTTTCCTGCAGCCTACATGCCCTTCCTGATGTAGGCTCTACTTATCCTTTATGCCCATATCTCATCGTTTTCCTTGTAGTTTGTTATAGTGATATTGACTTGTAGCTTCTCTAACATGCTTTACTCTCTTTTGCCTCTTGACCTTTGCTCATATTACTTCTTCTTCCTGGAACATTCTTTTTATGTCTTTCCCTCTTTCCTTTGGCTAACTCCTATTCCTCTTTTAGGTTTCAGCTTAAAAGTCATTTATTCTCACTTTCCAATTTGAATTCAGTGCTTAGCCTTTGAATTCCCATAGCACTTACTATTTCTGACAAAGCCATTGTGTGCCATTGTAATTGCATAGTTACTTGTTTGCTGTTGTAATCTAATCCTTCACCCACAGAAGCATTCAATACGTTTTTGTTGAATGGCTAAATAAATTACAGGGTAAGGTGGGGAAAAGTTGATGGTGTTACATTATCAAAAAATCTAGTTATGAAAAGACTTGTATGCTTCCTATCTATGGTAAAGACCTTGAAGTTTACTGTTTATGAAAATGTGGTTTTATCAGTGCTGAGAATAACTCCTGGTTACTAAAGTATCTTATATACCTTGGTTTCACAAGTCCTTTGAAAGTTGGTTACATTATTTTGTTTGTGTCTAATGTTAGATAAAATATAAAAAATGTTTTCTGGAAAAGTGATTTCAGATTGGGAATTAGGGTACTCTAAGTTGAAAGTAACGAATATTTATTTTTCACTTCACGTATCAAATAAATTCTATTTTTCCATAATTTTCAGTAGCTTCTTAATAATCTGTCAAGTTGGTCTGCCGCATTTAGTTAAAGCTTGTTATATTTTTTCTTATTTTGAGTAATGCTGTTGTAAATATCTTTGTATCTTGAGCTTTTTTCTTTTGAACTAATTTCTGAGGATAAATTTCCAGGAGTGGCATTTCTGGTGTAAGGGCATTTGTAGTGTGATGCTTAAGGGTATGCTTTGGTTTGCTCATGGCTGGTAGCAAAATAGTATTAGGGTTATAGAATGTAAAATCTGCATAACCCTTGGAATTCCAAGAAATGAAACTGCCATATTTCTTACCAGGTATTGAATGGTCCTATTTTTTTTTTTTTTTTTGGTGAGAAAGATTAGTCCTGAGCTAACATCCATTGCCAGTCCTCCTCTTTTACCTGAGGAAGATTGGCCCTGAGTTAACAACTGTGCCCATCTTCTTCTATTTTATATATGGCATGCCTGCCACAGCAAGGCTTGATGAGCAGTATGTAGGTCTGCACCCAGGATCTGAACCACTGAACCCTGTGCTGCTAAAGTGGAGTGTGTAGACTTAACCACTATACCACTGGGCTGACCCCCATATATGTATCCTTTTTAAAATTTATTTTTATTTATTTTTTTGGAGAGGAAGGCTCACCCTGAGCTAACATCCATTGCCAGTCTTCCTCTTTTTTTTTTTTTAAAACCTGGGGAAGATTAGCCCTGAGCTAACATCTGTGCCCATCTTCCTCTATTTTTTTATGCAGGATGCCTCCACAGCATAGCTGATGAGTGGAGTAGGTCCGCATCCAGGATCCGAACCTGTGAATCTGGGCCGCCAAAGTGGAGTGTGCAGATCTTTAACCACTCGGCCAAAGGGCCGGCCCCCGAATGGTCCTATTATTTTTTTTTGAGGAAGATTAGCTCTGAGCTAACATCTGCTGCCAATCCTCTTCTTTTTGCTGAGGAAGACTGGCCCTTAGCTAACATCCGTGCCCATCTATTTTATGTGGGACGCCTGCCACAGCATGGCTTAACAAGCAGTGCGTATGTCCGCACCTGGGATCTGTACCAGTGAACCCTGGGCCGCTGAAGCGGAATGTGGGAAGTTAACCGCTGTGCCACTGGGCCTGCCCCCTGTGATTTTTTTTTTTTGCAGTCTTTTCTGCATTAGGTATCTTAGCACTTGAGAGTGTGAATGTGAGAAGCAAAATGAGAGAATAAGCTCAAGAAATGCAGTTTAGGGGGCGTACTAGTAAGTTTTAGTTTGAGAATAGCCTGGCACTTCTTTGACTGTATATTTCTTACCAAACAGTAAGTCAATTTTATGAAAATTTTATGCACATATACTTGTGACGTTTTTGAGTATTTTGAGACTTTTTTTAAATGCTAATCCTACAGAAAACTCAAGTCTTTAAAAATATATGTTGTCTTCAATAAACTAGAAAATATTTCTTCTTAATAAGTAGGGATTTTATGTATAAGTGGAAGTATTTTACTTTGGATTCAGGTAAGCATTTTAAATAGCATTTTTATTACCGTAACACGTGGAGCATAGTACTGTTTTTTAGTCCACGTAACTTGTTTAGGTATAAGTTATTTTGGCATCATTAGCCTTGTTTGTGTTTTCCACTTTATCTTTTGCTGCCTAATACTGAATTTTAGGAGTCTTTTATCCAGTTTTTGAAGTGTCATTTTAAATAGATTGGTAAATTACTCACATTTGTGAAGTTTTACTGTATATTTAATGAGAGGGATTCACAGACAAAAAATGCATATTTAACTTGTTTTTCCCTTCTAGTAGAAATCTTTTAATCAATCAAGGTCAGAGTCAATGTTGTAATAACAGTTGGCCTCAGAAAGTTTTCTTTTTTTCTCAGTAGTTGAAGGCCATTTTCAAAGATTTTGTTCACCTTTTGTAGAGTGCTAGCTAGACCACTTCAATTTCACGTTTTCTGATGTTGTCCATCATACTCCTAAGAGGGTTTGGTTCACTTTTCAAGTCCTTCACAGTTTTGTTTTTTACACAGCAGCAGCAGTCAAACACTTCATAAAGGAAAGCCAACACCGCTAAAGATACCACTGTAAATATAAATAAAAGCAGAATGACAAAGCAGGCAGTGTTCCAGTTATCATGGAAAGGGTAAATTTTTTGAACTTTAAAGCCAAGGTACTGATAAACAGAGGTAGTGGTTTCATTCCAGAGGCTGGAGCTCAGGGAGGCCATTCTTAGAGATTCCACTTTCTGTATTGCTCTTTTGAATCTATAAAAAGGAAGAAAATTGAATATGGGTAACCAAACTCTACAGATTGGTCAATTCAAGTCCCAATACTAAGATTTGTTAGTAAATTTATATAGGCAACATGAATCTTCCGTATTTTCTGCCAGAATTAATGCCTAAATGATATTTTTGAATTTTTCTCTATCTGTGCCAATGTTCTCTGTAAACCATGCTATATGTATTTTTTATGTGTATCATTTGTTAGACAAATATGTGTGTTTAAGATTCATATACAGAAATTGACTGCTAGTGGAAGGGAAAAAAAGGCAGCTGAATTGGTTTAAAATTTGACTAAAGCAGTGGTCAGTGAGGTATTATCTACACAAAAAATCTTAGTGCTTTAAGGTCATGTTCTTCAAACTGCCCCTGGAAAAGCTTTTCTCATTACCTTTGTGGGGCCTCCTCACCTTGTTGGTTCAGTGTATTTCTGTCTCCTGTTTCCACTTCTTTAAACTTTGGGGACAGGTGACCTGAATCAGGAAATAGTGACTGAGTGAAAAAGAGTAGAGAAAGAAAAGCCAAATAATGACAATTTTCAGAATAAAGATAAAGTTTTCAGTTAAAGTTGCCTATGAAAAGACTTTAATCTCAGGATTTTTTTTTGTTGTGTATATGACAATCTTAGATATTTCATATACCTGAATGACCTATGGACACATATATTTTAAAAAACAGACAAATTCAGCGCCCCAAAGATATCAATTTTTAAATTATTATTCCATTTCACAAAATTAGCCAGCGAGTTAAACTTTCAGTATTCATGCATTGTTTTGCTCTTGTTTACTTGTTAGGCTCTAAATGAGACCATGAGGATTAAAGATTTGATAGTATTAAAAACAATAATGAATTTTTATTATCTTGATTTTTGAAAAATATCTTTTTAAGCTTATTCTTAAAAATTATAAAATACTTATATACTACATGTCAGGTTTATGTTGTAAATGATGACAGTGTGCCTCTTGTGAGAGTATTGATAACTGGTGAACAATTCAAGACATTTGCTCTTTAATTAGCTTCTGGGCATATCTGAAACAAGTGAAGCATGTAATATGGAGTCATTTTCCACCTTAAATTTAATGTGGTTTTTTCTTTCAAAGTATATGGAACGCTATACTGGTAGATTGCTAGTAATTTTTTGTGTAAAATTTAGGGTAAAGCCTAAATCTTATTTTGGATTAGATGTAATTAGACATGCAGGAAGATGTTTACCATTAGAATTTTCTCAAATTCTCAGACTATATTTTTAAAATTAAAATGTAGATTTAAGCAAATGATGTGAACATGCCGTATGAAAAGTAAAAGAAAATGGTAAAAGAAAAAAAAAAGGAACAGTGCGTACTTTTTTGGATCCCCCCCCAGCTCCTTTAAAATTTCATTATAGGAATGGGAAGTGTTAATACCAAATTTATTTTTAGTTTGTTTTTTATATATTCCCTTCACCTATTTTTCCTCTCACTTCAAAGGCCCTAGTGTAATATTTATGGGCATAGGACTTGGAATTGTTCTGGAACCTTAAATTTCCAGATTAGAATAAAATTATGCTTTTGCTTTATTTGTGGTAAAAACCCTTGAATTGAATTCTCTAGTGCCTTTAAGCATATCACTCTGAAATATGGTCAGTTAATCATAATGGCCTTTAAATATGGAGCAACTTCCTCAGCTCTGGAACTCTGAGATAGGCCATGCCTCTAGTCAGTTTGGGTAAAAAGCATTAGCCTCCATCTGTGCTAACTATAGATATATTACCAGTAAATGTGGGCTGATTATACTGTTAAAACAATGTGCGTGGTAGGGGTTTCTATTACAATTTACCTGGAATTTGAGTTACAAGTTAACTGTTTTATTTGACAAAGTGGTTTTTATTTTATCTGAGACTTTTTGGGGGCTCCCATGTTTTGTATAGCAAGAAGGAATGTTTTCTAGGTAATTAACCCCGTTGTGCTAAAACTGGAGAGATCTCATATCATCTTCAGCAACCTTTGGGCTTTGTAAGGGATACTTTGTTCGTGTTAGCTGAATACTGACCAAGAAATAGAGGGAATAAAAATTATGAAAAAAATCCTTTAAAATTTAAATGGATTAACCCTCAAAGAAAAGGGCAAAAGTTGACCTCTAGGTCAGTATGTACAGCTAATATTCTGGAACTCTAGCATCTACTAAATAATGATGTTTTCATGCTTGAATCTTATCTAGCATCTACTAAATAATGATGTTTTCATGCTTGAATCTTATAAAATTATAAATTTCATCACCCATTTATACTAATTTTTAGTAGACATGAACGGTTACTCTGAGCCATGAGAACAATCTTATTACCTTGAAAGGTACCATGCCCTCCTCCCTTAACTAGTTCTTCTTAGGGTATGTTTTTATTTTAAAGTGTAATTTATCAAAAAGACTTGCTAGGTATTTATTTTGAGCATCAGTTTAAGAATAGCTTTAATACTATGTTGAAATATTGTGATAAAGACGTATTTTTGTGGCATATAAATAATGAAAAGCTGTTTAAGAAGGTTTTCATTTAATAGTAGTATGACTTGTATATTACAGTGATAATAGACTTTAAAACTTCACTGTAAGGAATTATTTTAATTATTAGGAAACTCTAAAGCTCTATAAATGATCTCTTTGGTTACAGTATAGTGCAGTCTACATGATAGCCTTATGGCCTTTTTTAATATAAAAATCACAATTGTGATAATTTCTCAACATCCTCTGCATGTACACTCAAAGTCAAATAAACACTTTTGAACTATTTTCTCATATTTGTTAAAATATAACAGACTTTCCTGTATCTGCTCTTTATTAGCCAATATAATTTGCACATGTAATCAGAAAGCTTTAGTCCAGGGTTTGCTTTTAGTCTAGATTTTTCTTTAAGAAAAATCCTTTGTTAAGACAGACCAAACTGCTGAAATGAAATAGCTCAGAGAAAATGAAATTAGCAAGTAACCACTTAACATCAAATACTTACGGTTTTCTCTAAGGTCTGGCTATAGATCAGGTTCATAGACAATGTCATGAATTTTCCATTAAGGCACAGATGGTAAGGGTGCTTATCAAATAGCACAAGGCAGTCTTCATATTTTCATAATAAAATTCTACCAAGCAATGAAATAAATACATTGCTTTTTTTTGGTCTTTCTTAGGAACAAAGCTTTCTGCTTGGTTTTGATGGTGAAATATTTTTATATTGCATCATAAAGACGTGTATTACTAAATGAAAAAGATCATATAAACCTACCTCTTGTCTGAAAGGCTGCTGTTGAAGCGATGGTCTCGTCTGTTTGTAGTGCAGTCTAGTGCACAGCCAAGATGGAGCGCTGCTTCTATTGGTTGAACCACAGTGCAGCTGACAGTTTCCTCTACGTTCATTTGCATTAAGTCCTGCCACCCTTAAGAGTAAATCATTCATAAACTTGAATAGAGCTGTCTGGGATATCAGCTGTCACCCTTTTTCTTGCCTTATTTTTTTGTCTTTAAGCTAAATTCCTGCATAGGAGTTACTAACAAATTGATGATTCCTTAGTGTTTAACTGTAAAATTTCATATCCTTCAGTGAATGTTTCAGTGCTAAGGCTAGAAGGTAATGTCGAGAGAGGTGGTAACCTAGGAAACAAACAGTCCAGGCTTACCAGCTTGGTATTTGATCCAGGAAGTGCGCATAAAATCTCATAAATGATATTTTTCTCTTCTTTTTGTTCAATACTTGTGTTTTATATAAATCTTGCCCTTTGGAAGTGATTATTTCATGTCGTGGTTTGATTTAGGAGAAATTCTGAGGGAAAAAAAGTAAGGTTTTCAGCTCTGCTAGTTGGGAGAGGCCTCTGTTGGTTTTGATAGGTGCACCACCTACATTGAAAAAGCCGTCTGTGAAATTTACATAGCAAAAGAATCCTCAATTGGATGTTTAGAGATAGAATGTTCTTATTTATGGTGTATTATTTAGAATTGTAGTCTAAGTATAACAGAATCAAGATTTTAAATTGTGTGAGTGGCTATTATAACAACAGCAGGCTGGGTAAATGTTCTCTATGCAGACTTATTTTTTAAAATTATAGATTGATCAGTACATTAGTTTCTGGGGCCATAAAGGGATTCATGGAAATATCCTTATTATGGAAAATAATATTATGCATTCAACTAACATTTATTGAGTGTTTACTATGCCTGGCATGGAATTAAGTGCTGGAGATGCCATGGTAAACAAAACTGTATGTGGTTCATGATTGACCATTTGTATGGTGCTTATTCTTAATGTATTGTTGTCTGTTTTTCATAGTCTTGTCCCAGTTAGTCGTTTATATAGTAGTGTAGGATAGACTTAATTGTATTTTACTAAAGTTAACCAAGAAAACATTAAATGTGCATTTATGAATTTCTGTACTCTGGCAAAATAGCCAGTTTCAGTTGGAATAATCTGTGTTAAAGGCTAGTTAATGATTCTCATACAAAGCATTATCACAGGGTTTACAACTGGATTTGAATCTAATCTATACTCTGCCACTTACTGCTCTCAGTTTTCCTATGTTCAAAAGGGTTTTTCTTTTTCTCATTTTTCTTATATTTATTATACCTCCTAAATAGGAATTTGGGGAGGAATTAAATGAGAAAATCATTTAGCATGGCTCTTAGCAAGTAGTAAGTGTTCAGTAAAGGTTAGTTACTATTATTTTCAGAATGTCCTGAACACCTTGGGAAAATGAACCATGTAGCTAGCATTTTGTAATTGAAATAGTGACTATGAAACCACACCTATAAGGCATTCTTAATATTATTGTTATTTTTGGAAACAGTAGATGTTAGTGTGCCCATTAAGTTATTATCAAAATTTTAACAAAGTTGTTTTTAGAGGAAAATTGCATTTGAAGTCTCATTTTAGTCTCAAAAAAGCATGTTCACTAAAGCCTTTTCACTGACTAATCTCAAAGGAGTATTATGTTGCCATCTAGAAGCTCTTCTTTGGACCTCTGACAGTTGTTACATTTGACTTGTGGTTGTTCTAATGCATTCTTTTGCTTAAATTATTATTACCAAGCTAGTGCTAGACATTGACTCCCCCCGCCCCTTTTATTTAACCTTTTCCTTTGTGCGTCAGCCACATGGGAACTTTATAATATCTGATCTGATGACTTGCTAATAGAGTGTACTTCTGAAATGTTTTGCTAGTATTTATGATGAATTTTTTTTAACTCTTCCTTCCTATGACTAATGGAATGCATTTGTGATGCAATAGTAGCATTAGGATTTCTGCCTGCAAGAATGCAACAAAATGATAGATGTTCTGAAACAGATTATCTTCTGTGCAGATTGCTCCTTATTTCAGGCTCTCATCGTTTTATCCATGTTTATGCAGTGGCAGTGCCTCTTTTTTTTAATTTCTAATTTATCTTCAAAGTTTACTTTAAAACAGTTATGCTGTCCTTCTTTTTACTAATTCTCATTAATAGCCATTTATTTGTTTTTAGTTGATAAGCAGAAATTGATGTAATAGGTGATAAATTGAACTTTCCCTCAGAAGTAATCCACTCACTTCTCAAGATTTTAAGTCTGTTGGAAGAGCACTAAGGATCAGATTGAGATTTATATTGTCCTCTTGTTTAAAAAGCCCTACTTCTAATTATCGGGGAAAGCTAATCAGAATTAAGGAAACAGTGAGATAAAGATACTTATAAAAGAAATGTATTTTAATGCATTTGAGTTACTTATACTTTGTTTCCATCCTTAGTGAGAAAATGGATAGTTTATTATACAATTAAAGGTTTTTAATTTTTCATCAAAATTTTACAGGATAGAATTTACTATATAGAAAAATTTAAACAAATATTTTACCAGAGTTAAAATCATTTTAGCTGCTTACAAGTCATAATCACATCTAAGATGAAAATGTTATAATTGTTTTTTGAACTTCATTTCCAGATCACAGCAATGGATCATTTAACTTGAAAGCTCTATCAGGAAGCTCTGGATATAAGTTTGGCGTTCTTGCTAAGATTGTGAATTACATGAAAGTAAGTACTTTTCTCATATAACAAAAATTGTGTTTAACTTTTTGGCAGAAGAAGGAGACTGACATTTTCAGAAGTAAATTTGTATATACATGTCAAAATTTATCAATTTATGTGTTTCAATCTGTGTAGTTTATTGTATGCCTATTATACCTCAATAAAACTATAAAAAATATGTAATGCTTCAAGTCTTTTACATGATATCAAATTAGCATTGCAGTGAGTCACCTAAATATATTTAATTTACGTTAATTCAGGTATGCAATTTAAGCCCACCATTTAACTTAATAAAATTGTACTTAGGTAGTAGATAAAGTTACCTTTTAATCAGTCAGTTACTGCTGGGAAAACCAATAGGAAGATGTGGACGATTTACAAGATGTTGCTTCTATTGAAATGAGAAGTAAAAACTATAATTTTTTCAGTGTAAGTGTAAATAATGACACAGGATGGAATTTCTGGCTTGTAGTGTCTCAATAAAATACATCACTTTTAAGTTTATCTAAGGGAATCTAAATGCCATTATTATAATGAAATACTTCAAAAATATGAAAACAAACTTAAGTGGTTGGAAATCTCATTTTCCCTTTGAATTTGTATGTCAGTTCTGTTGTTCCCACTGAATTTTTTCCTAATGTTACATATTTTTATGCTTGAAAAATTTTTATTGATTATCTCTCAAACCTCTTTGTCACAGTAATATGTATACAATTTGAAATTAGAATTGTTTTCCCTGTCACCTTAAGGCTCTAAATATTAAAAGTATCTTCTGGTTAGAGTTTTTGTTAGAATTATTATTAGCACACAGTTCATCAGAGTAACATACATATAGTAAAATTTTGATTAAAATTTACTTTGTATTGGGGTGGACCTGTGGCTGAGTGGTTAAAGTTCTCCATGCTCCACTTTGGTGGCCCAGGTTCATGGGTTGAGATCCCGGGCATGGATCTAGTCCACTCATCAGCCATGCTGTGGAGGCGTCCCACATACAAAATTGAGGAAGATTGGCATGGATGTTAGCTCAGGGTGAATCTTCCTCACACACAAACACCAAAATTTATATGTAATAATTATTCAACAGAAATCCGTTTTTTTTTTATTGAGGTCACAGTAGTTTATAACATTGAGAAATTTCAGTTGTACGTTATTATTTGTCAGTCACCATATATATGTGCCCCTTTATCCCTTATGCTCATCGTCAACACCCTTCCCCTCTGGTAACCACTAATCTGTTCTCTTTGTCCATGTGTTAGTTTATCTTCCAAATGTGAATGAAATCATATGGTGTGTGTCTTTGTCTGGCTTATTTTACTTAACATTAATACCTTCAAGGGCCATCCATGTTGTTGCAAATGGGATGATTTTGTCCTTTTTTATGGCTGAGTAGTATTGCGTTGTATATATATGTATACCACATCTTCTTTATCCATTCATCAGTTGATGGGCACTTGGGTTGCTTCCACTTGTTGGCTATAGTGAATAATGCTGCAGTGAACATAGGCGTGCGTAAATCTCTTTGGAGTGTTGATTTCAAGGTCTTTGAATAAATACCCAGTAGTGGGACAGCTGGGTTGTGTGGTATTTCTGTGTTTACTTTTTTGAGAAATCTCCATACTGTTTTCCATAGTGGCTGCACTAGTTTGCATTTCCACCAGCAGTGTATGAGGGGTCCCTTTTCTCCACATCCTCTCCAACATTTGTTGTTTTTTGTCTTGGTAATTATAGCCGTTCTAACGGGTGTAAGGTGATATCTCATTGTAGTTTTGATTTGCATTTCCCTGATGATTAGTGATGTTGAACATGTTTTCATGTGCCTATTGGCCATCTGTGTATCTTCTTTGGAAAAATGTCTGTTCATACCCTCTGCCCATTTTTCGATTGGGTTGTTTGTTTTTTTGTTGTTGAATTGTGTGAGTTCTTTATATATTTTGGAGATTAAGCCCTTGTCAGATAGACGATTTGCAAATATTTTCTTCCAGTTGGTGGGTTGTCTTTTTGTTTGGTTCCTGGTTCGTTTGCCTTGCAGAAGCTCTTTAGTCTGATGAAGTCCCATTTATTTTTTCTTTTGTTTCCCTTGCCCAAGTGGACATAGTATTCGAAGAGATGCTGCTAAGACCAATGTCAAAGAGTGTACTGCCTATATTTTCTTCTAGGAGTTTTATGGTTTCACGTCTTACCTTCAAGTCTTTGATCCATTTTGAGTTAATTTTTGTGTACGGCGAAAGGTAATGGTCTGCTTTCATTCTTTTGCATGTGGCTGTTCAGTTTTCCCAACACCATTTGTGGAAGAGACTTTCCTTTCTCCATTGTATGTTCTTAGCTCCTTTGTTGAAGATTAGCTGTCCATAGATGTGCGGTTTTATTCCTGGGCTTTCAATTCTGTTCCATTGATCTGTGTGTCTGTTGTTGTACCATTACCGTGCTGTTTTGATTACTGTAGCTTTGTAGTATATTTTGAAGTCAGGGGATGTGATGCCTCCAGCTTTGTTCTTTGTTCTCAGGATTGCTTTAGCTATTCGGGGTCTTTTGTTGCCCCATATGAATTTTAGCATTCTTTGTTCTGTTTCTGTGAAGAATGTCATTGGGATTCTGATTGGAATTGCACCGAATCTGTAGACTGCTTTCGGTAGTATGGACATAACTATGTTTATTCTTCCAATCAATATGCATGGAATATCACTCCGTTTCTTTATGTCATCATCAGTTTCTTTCAATAATGTCTTATGGTTTTCCTTGTATAGGTCTGTCATCTCTTTGGTTAGATTTATTCCTAGATATGTTATTCTTTTTCTTGCAATTGTAAATGGGGTTATATTCCTGAGTTCTCTTTCTGTTTGGATTCTGTTGGGTTTTCTATGTATAAAATCATGTTGTCTGCAGTGAGAATTTCACTTCTTCTTTGCCAATTTGGATACCCTTTATTTCTTTTTCTTGCCTAAATGCTCTGGCCAAAACCTCCAGTACTGTGTTGAATAAGAGTGGCAAGAGTGGGCACCCTTGTCTTGTTCCTGTTCTCAGAGGAATGGCTTTTAGTTTTTCCCTGTTGAGTATGATGTTGGCTGTGGGTTTCTCAAATGTGGCCTTTATTATGTTGAGATACTTTCCTTCTATATCCATGTTATTGAGAGTTTTTATCATAAATGAATGTTGGATTCTGTCAAATTCTTTCTCTGAGCCTATTGAGATGATTATGTGGTTTTTATTCCTCATTTGTTAATGTGGTGTATCACACATTGATTTATGGATGTTGAACCATGTTTGCGTCCCTGGTATAAATCCTACTTGATCATAGTGTATGTTCCTTTTAATGTATTGCTGGATTCGGTTTGCCGATATTTTGTTGAGGATTTTTGCATCCATGTTCATCAGTGATATTGGCCTGTAATTTTCCTTCTTTGTATTGTCCTTATCTTGCTTTGGGATCAGGGTGATGTTGGCCTCATGAAGTGTGTTAGGAAAATTCCATTGTCTTTAATTTTTTGGAATAGTTTGAGAAGGATAGGTATTAAATCTTTGAATGTTTGGTAGAATTCTCTAGAGAAGCCATCTGGTCCTGGACTTTTATTTTTTGGGAGGTTTTTGCTTCCTGTTCCAATCTCTTTACTTATGAATGGTCTATTCAGATTCTCTATTCTTGATGCAGTTTTGGGAGGCTGTATGAGTCTAAGAATTTATCCGTTTCTTCTAAATTGTCCAGTTTGTTGGCATATAGTTTTTCCTTAGTATTCTCTTATTAAACTTTGTTTTTCTATCATGTCTCTTGTAATTTCTCCTCTTTCATTTTTAATTTTATTTATTTGAGCCTTCTCTCTTTTTTGATTAGTGAGTCTGGCTAAGGGTTTGTCAGTTTTGTTTATCATCTCAAAGAAAACAGCTCTTAACGTCATTGATCCTTTCACTTTTTTATTTTTTGGTTTCAATTTCCTTTATTTCTGCTCTAATTTTTATTATTTCCCTCCTCCTGACTTGGGGCTTTGTTCTTTTTCTAAATCTGTTAGGTGTAGTTTAAGATTGCTCACTTTAGATTTTT